TACCCCAACAGTGCCTGGACATAAATGTGCAAAGGACTATAAGCAGAGCTATGAATATAGAAAAAAATACTTTTTGCATAAAATGTGAGAGGGAAAAAAAGCAGGAGACAAGTTTCAGCAGATCATGATATGAAAGAATGCACAACATAAAATGAAATCCAACAGGACAGAATAATAGTGAGAGAATACCATGGGGAAAGAGAAAGTGCTTTTACATAAATGAACGTATAGTGAGCATAATTTTATGATAGAATATTTCAAAACCACAGAATGCCTTCCCCAGCACTCTTTTCTGGAATAGAAAAAACAAAACAAAAGTTTCCACTAAACTAAGTTCTCAGGGGGAAATAAGGAGGGTCAATTAAAATATTTTGGTTTGAAAGCACTGATCTATTTTGTTTTGGTTTCTACTTTTCTAATTTTCATTTTGTATATAAAATACCACTAAGCTTTTGTTCAAAAAAGCATTTTGAAAAGAAAAATTGAAGCATTCTTTTCTGAAATGGGTCAAAACATGTCATTTCATTTTGGGTCCTTTCTAGTAAAATTTCATCAAAAAGGAAATGATTCAGAAAAGTTGGGTGTCTTTTTTTTTATATGTGTTCAATGGAAACTATGTCATTATGATCATCAGTCATAAAACAAATTTCAGACAGTTATGAGATCTCACCATCACTTGTCCAACAGTGTCATCATTCCCTGTATTGTGTATTTTTGTATAATTTCTGTGAATTCATTTGTAAAATAAGAAAGTTCAGCCTCTAAAATGTCTTTCACTTTTGAAAGAGGGATTTAGATCTTACTGTGCTAAGCAAAACAACATTCAAATATCTTTAAAAATCTGGGCCTGAAAGTTACCTTTGGATATTCAGAGAGAGACCAGTTCTTAAAAAAAAGAAAAAAAAGAGTTTGGGGCATAAAAAGGATACAAGATCAGGCCTTAATGTAACAAGGTAGGGAAAAGTAAACAGCTGCTTCATTCAAAATAAAATAAGAAGTTTGGGGTATGATATGCTCTCACACAGATGAGAAACTGGACTAGCTCCAATGATGTTGATGGCATTACTCTGGTTCTATACCAATGTAAACAAGAACATAATTTGTCTGAGAAGAAAGACATAACTCCTGGGACAACGTGGACATCATTACTCATGATTCTGTTCACCTGATGGGACAAATGATTCTGGACATGTCCACAGAGTACCATTTGGCATGTGCAGAGTTCCACGTATGCATCCAAGGACAGAATTTCTCCTATTGTTGGTTGAAAAATGAAGGTGTAGACAAGTGAATGGCAGAATGCAAACAAAACCCCCAAACCCAACCAAATACTTGCATGTTCTCTAAAGTGTGGCTCTCCCGAAAGAACAAGTGGAAAGGAAGACTCCAATCTTATTTGCTGACTTTCAAATAACATTCATCTTTGCCATGCTAGAGCAAAGCGAATATAATCTGGCATTACCTCACAGAGGTATGGGAGCATGCTAAAACTCAGATTAGAAAATATTTAGATGTATTGAAGTTGGTAGGAGCCGATGAAATTCATCCTAACACACTAAAGGAACGAGCTGAAGCAACCTTAGACCAATAGTGATTATCTTTGAGAACTTCTGGAGACTGGGTCAGAACAAAAGAGACTGGAGAAAGCCAATGTTACAGATTGGACCTCTCTGATCTGACATGCTCAGGACCTGGAAACAGTCCTGAACCAGGGAGTTTGCCAGACCAGGGGAGGTCAGTGCTCCCCTGATGGTCACTAACCCTACTCCTGGGCTTCTCTCTGACTCTCTGGAACTTTCCAGTGCCTTGGCTCCCCACCCTGCTGCCAGGACTCCCTGAGGTCAGTTTAGAAAAGAGGAGGCTGAGGGGGGATATGATAGAGGTATATAAAATCATGAGTGGTGTGGGCTGATAAAGAAAAGTTATTTATTAGTTCCCTAAATAGAAGAACTAGAGGACACCAAATGAAATTAATGGGTAGCAGGTTTAAAACGAATAAAAGAAAGTTCTTCTTCACACAGCGTGTAGTCAACCTGTGGAACTCCTTGCCAGAGGAGGCTGTGAAGGCTAGGACTATAACAGAGTTTAAAGAGAAGCTAGATAATTTCATGGAGGTTAGGTCCATAAAAGGCTATTAGCCAGGGGATAAAATGGTGCCCTTGGCCTCTGTTTGTCAGAGGCTGGAATGGAGGTTAGGTCCATAAAAGGCTAGTAGCCAGGGGATAAAATGGTGTCCTTGGCCTCTGTTTGTCAGAGGCTGGAGAGAGATGGTAGGAGACAAATCACTTGATCATTGTCTTCAGTCCACCCTCTCTGGGGCACCTGGTGCTGGCCACTGTCAGTAGACAGGATACTGGGCTAGAAGGACCTTTGGTCTGACCTAGTACGGCCATTCTTATGTTCTTATGAGGCTCATCAGCTGCCGGGGTTCCCAGCTGGTGCTGGGCATCCTCAGTTATCACCAGCTCTGCTCTTGATGGGGTTCTCTGGCTGCCACCAGCCCTGCTACTGCTGGAGGTTACCAGCCAGGACTCCCCAGTGGCTGGTGGCCCCACTGCCACAGGGTGTTCGCAGCTAGGGCTCCCCGACTGCCACTGGGATTTACCGGGTTGGGGCTCCCCAGCCACCAACAGCCCATCTGGGGCTCCTCCGCACCCATGGGACTCCCAGCTGGCTCACACACCTGGCCTCTGGGGCTCTTTGGTTCAGCAACAACCATGGTCCTGCTGATCCATGGATATTCCTGGACCAAAGAGTCCTGGATTTGGGAGGTTCAACCTGGATGTTTGAAGAGGGGAACAAAGAGGAGCTGGAGCAGTACAAGTTTTATTCTGAGTGAAGCAGCTGTTTAGTTTTCCCTACCTTGTTATGTTAAGGCCTGATCTCGTCTCCTTTATATGCCCAAAACTCCTATTGTTTTCAGAACTTAACTTTGAAACCTGGAAATATGGACGACTGGTACGTGTGAGAGGACGGGGTGCAGGGAGGGCCATCCAGAGGAGCAGGGGGCATGAGGGAGCATCATGTTGAGCAATGAATCCATGAGTTGTCTATGCCTGGAAAGATACTGGAGCAAATCATTAAACAATCAATTTGTAAGTACCTAGAGGCTAATAGGGTTATAAAGGAGTAGCCAGCATAGAATTGTCAAAAACATCATGTCAAACTAACCTATTTTTCTTCTGTGATTGGATCACTGTCCTAGTGGGTGGGAATAGACAGACCCTGCTGTATACGTGAGATCTCATGACTTTAGTAAGACTTTTGATGCCGTCCCACATGACATTCTCATAAGCGAACAAGGGAAATAAAGTCTAAATTAAATTGCTATGAGGTTGTTGCAAAACTAGTTGCAGGAACATATTTAAATAGCAGTTATTAGCTATTTGCTGGGAACATATCTGGTGCTGCCCTGCAGGATTCTGACTGAGGTCAATACTGTTAATATTTTCATTAGTGATTTGGATAATGGAGTGGTTAGTATTTCAGATTTCACCAAGTGGGAAGGAGTTATCATCACTTCGGAGGAGAGGATTCAGTTCAACACAACCTTGACAAATTGGGGGATAGGATGGATCATAAACTGAATGAGAGTCAACATATTATGTAGTTGGGGAAAAGGCTAATATTTCATGTGTATTCACAGGAGTATTGCATGTAAGACAAAGAGGACAATTGTCCCATTCTACTCAGCACTGGTAAGGCCTCCTCTGGAGTACTGTGTCTAATTCTGGGTGTCACACTTTAGGAAAGATGTGGGCAAGTTGGAGAAAATTCAGAGGCAAGCAACAAACATAGTTAAAGGTGTAGAAAACTGACCAGTTTTCAAAAAACTTGTGAAAGGACAACTGGCAGGGTATGTGTGTATGGAGGAGAATCTGATAATCTTCAAACATGTTAAGGGCTATTTGAAAAAGGACAGTAGTTAATTATTCTTCATGTCCACTGAAAGTAGGAAAAGATATAATGGGTTTAATCTGCAGCAAAGAAGATTTTGGTTGAGGGAAATTTTTTAACTGTAAGGGTAGTTAAATTTTCAAGAGGTTGTCAAGGGATTCTGTGAAATCCCCTTCATGGGAGGTTTTTAACAATAGATTAAGTAAACAACTGTAAAGTATGGTGTAGGTCTAGGATGGGCGAATGCAAGTCTGCGGCTTGGGTCCAATCAAACAGGGTTAGCTTCTGGTGGACCCTCACCATTATATCTTCCTGCATGGCCCAAGGTATTGGCATTCACAGCTCCTGTCAGCCATGGATCACTGTTCCCGGCCATTGGGAGCTGTAGGAAGTGGTGTCCCGGCCTGTGCCACTTCCTGCCACTCCCATTGGCTGGGAACAGCAATCTGCATCCAATGGATACTGTGATTGCCAATACTTGCAGTCATGCAGGTAAATATAGCTGGCGAACCACCACCATGTTATTGCCTACCCCAATCTAGGTATCTTTGGTCCTACCTCTGCTTAGGGGGCTGAACTAGATGACCTCTTGAGCTACCTTCTAACCCTACATTTCTATGATTCTAATGATCTCCTTGTTACAGATGGGGAAACGGAGGCCCACAGGAGTGAACTAATTTGTGTGACATGTTAAGGAACTTTGTGACAGAGTTCAGATCTTTTGATCCACCATCCAGTGCCAAAATCAACTGACAGTCCACCCTCCCTACTCCAGGGGAGGTTTCAGCTTTCCATGACTGATCCCAAGAGTGAAAAGCCTAATGTTGTGCTTCTTCCCCCACCCACATTTCAAATTAGTAAGCCAAGTAGCAAATGATAAATTGGCAGCTACCACTTCAGAAATTGTTCATGTGCCAGCTACCATAGGAGTCCCCACATGAAACAATTTCAGTGTATTTGTTTTTTCTGTTTTGCAGTAATACAGTAAATAAAACAGTAGCTTCTGCTACTCTTGATTATCCTGGGTAGCTAAATAATTGAAAACAGATGGCTTACATTCAAGTTAACACCAAAAGTACCAGTAATGCTCTTTTGTCCTATAGGAATAAGCCACATGGGGGAGAGGGGACATGTTTCCAATGATGTGGACTGGCGATCACCTTCGAGAATAGGTTAGCGATCAACTATTACTTTGGGAAGAAATTATTTTGTTTCACCAATTATCTTTTAAAAGTAGCCTTGATAAACCAAGCCATTTCGGATGTATTGTTACACAACATGCAGGCCCAATATTACACCAAACTAGTGTTGTAGTCCAATAAGTATGATATAGCATTTTGCATACCAATTTTGCCTCTCCTTTTATTTTTGTCATCTTGCAGTCATTTAGTATAAAAGGGTGATTGCTGAGTGACTGCCGTGTCTTTCTGTCCTTGCCATTAAGTGCATTCACACAACTTGATCCTGCAACTTGCTGAGTCCTTCCTGCAAGATACTGATTCCCCTCAATTCCTCATAAGATCAGGCCCACAATGTTGAAGTATGTCCCAAGTCTTTAGGAGTCAGAGGTGGTGAAGTCAGTTAATATGGATTCCAGCTAGAAACTAAGGCTACATCTAGATTGCAGGCTTCCTGTGAAAGAAACTTTTTTTGGAAGAGATCATCTGAAAAAACTTCTTTCAAAGAGAGCATCCACACTGCAAAAATGCATCGAAAAAGCAATGCACTTTTGCGAAAGAGAGTGTCCAGACTGCCTGGATGCTCTCTCACATGTAAGCAGTGATTGCTATGGACAGAATGGCCACCAGGGCACCTATGCTTTTTCCTCTTTCCCCGTCTTCCAAAAAACCTCCCTCTTCCCAGTCCACACACGCCTTTTTGTGAAAGAGCTCTTTCGCAAAAAGGCTTCTTCCTCATAGAATGAGGATTATCAGTTGCACAAAACTCCCTCTGTTCTTTCGATTTACTGTAAAAAAAAATGTACTTGCAGTGTGGACCTAACTCAAGTTTTGTCAGAAAAATGACCATTTTTTCGACAAAACTCTGTAGTCTAGACATAGCCTAAGAGATCTCAAACTGTATATTTCACAGTCTGATCTGTATTTTGAAGACCACCAATTTTAGAGCAGCTCAGATTGGGGTTTTGGACTGGCTCGTGAAGATAGTCCAGATGTGAATTCTGCACTACATTTAAATTTCAAACAGCATCCAAATTTGTGGCAAAGGGAAGAGCAGGTGAGGTGGAAAAGGATCCAGGTTTTATTCTGAATCCATCTCTGGTTGTAATAATTGTAAACTCTCCTTTAGGAGATCAGGGCAAAGCTAACATATGGAGAATAAACTGTACCCGCACAATGCATGCATGTATTCTTTGTACACCATAGAACATATAGAAACTTCATGCCTGAATGCATGTGGAAAATGGATAACTGCATGCCTAAATGCCCCTTTTGCAGAAACTATTACCCATTTTGCATGCTGAAACATCCTTTTGCCTGAACTGATAGAGGATTTGTAAGCACAGCTTAAGGATTCGTGTCTGAAACTTTGGGCCACTTTCTCCATATTATTGTCTTTCTTTGAGGCACTGGGAATCCGGGTGAGTATCCTGCCTGATTTCTCATTCTGTAGCAGTTGGAGCTGAAAGTTCTCTGGGCCCCACTGAAGCTATTGACACAGCCATTTTCTCTCTCTATAGGATCAAACCCCCAGAATGCAATACTTTAGAAGGAAGCCCCTATTCTTCTTCTTGGGGCCTTTGGGGTTGTTTCAGACTTATGGAGTAAGCATATCACACAGAAGACTTTCCATACTGATTATTTGATGGGGACATGATTTACTTTTCTAGTCTTTAGGGTATGTCTACACTACCCTCCTATTTCAAAATAGGAGGGTAATGTAGGCATACCGCAATTGCAAATGAAGCCCGGGATTTGAATTTCCCGGGCTTCATTTGCATAAGACGGGCCCCGCCATTTTTAAATCCCGGCTGGTTCGAACCCCGTGCCGCGCGGCTACACGCGGCACGAACTAGGTAGTTCGAACTAGGCTTCCTAGTTCGATCTACCGTTACTCCTCGTGGAATGAGTATCCCTTGTGAAGAATACAGAGGCACCTGGGGAATCAATATGTCAGATGAAATGCTCTGTGCTTGAAATTAAAAAATGAGTAAAGTTTTATAATAGAACAATGAGAGGGATTCTGGGAAGTAATTTTCTCTGAATTTATTGGAGGGTTTTTAGTCCTGGTCTCTATTACAACTAGTTGGTTGCATCACTCTAAGTATATCAAACATTGCCTTTTATGTCATAGAGGCTGGTGCACAAGGATACCAATTCCTGGAAGGCTCTGCATGAAAACTTAACAGAGACAGAATATTCACTTTGGAGACTAAGTATTCTTAAAAGAGTGCAGCATTTGGATGATTGACATTTTTTCTCTTTCACCTGCTTTTTTGTTGGAATCCAGTTTTTAGAGCTTCATGCCAGTGTCTGTTACCTGATGTTCATAATAAAGCTGCTTGCAATTTCAACAGCACAAAATGCATACCCCTACTCTGGGAGGGACAAACATGGTACCACCAATATACATTCTTAGTTATTTCTTATTCCTTTGCATTTCTACAAAATTAAAGGATATCCTATCTAAAGTATCAACTGCCTCTGATAAAAGTTCTGAGACAAACAAAAACGAAACAGCTTAATCCTCCACCAATATAAAATGAAATATAAAAACTCCTCTTCTTCATGCTTTCTAACCTCCATCAAATCCCTCTCTTCCTGCAGCAGCATGCCCAAATATGCACCATGCCACTTATCCTGAAGGTCAACACTCATGAATTGTGTACTAGTGGGAGGGTGGACTTGTTCCAGAGCTAAAAGCCTCTGATAGAGAACATTCCATATCAGCCCCCTCTTTCAATTGAAAGCAGATCCAGCCCCTGGACTTCCAGTGATTGCAGTTGTGACAGAGAAGAGGTCTCATATTTATGCTCACCTAAGCTGTTATTCCCCCCCCCACCCCTCCAGCTATATCTGGGCTAAGCTCATCGTCACATGCCATACAGATATGCCAAGGAAGCAACATATAACTGCTAGTATCTAAGGCCACTTACTCAAGTCACTTATATTAGCATCCTTTGCATATTTTCAGGATTTTTTGAGGGGGCAAAAAAAAATCCTAAGTGGCAAGACTAGAAAAAAGAAAAGCAAATTGCAGCAAATAAGCAGTTACCCATATTTAGCCTTTGGTCAATAGAAAGGAAAGAAACTTTCAAAGAAGAGGAGATTACAACATCTGAGGGTTCTTTTTAGCATAGGACATTGAAGTGCTGTCTTGTCAAAGAAACGAAGAGGAGATTCCTAATAAAACAGGATAAGAGAAGAAGCAGTGGTATCTACAATACATCCTACACTGCTCCCAAGACATTAAGTTGTCTATGGGAGTGTCTAAACTACATGGCTCCATCGATGGAGCCATGTAGATTAGGCTGATCGGCCTTCATTTAAATTTAAATGGCTGCCGCGCTGAGCTGACAAACAGCTGATCAGCTGTTTGTCGGCTCAGCGCGCTAGTCTGGATGCTCTCGCGCCGACCTGAAAGCCCTTTATCCACCTCCCCATTATGCCTCGTATAATGAGGTTTACCGGGGAGGTCGATAAAGGGTTTTCATGTCGGCAGGGGAGCATCCAGACTAGTGCACTGAGCCGACAAACAGCTGATCAGCTGTTTGTCGGCTCAGCACGGCAGCCATTTAAATTTAAATGAAGCCGCGATTATTTAAATCGTGGCTTCATTTCCCTTTGCCGAACAAACAAATCTACATGGCTCCGTCAATGGAGCCATGTAGTTTAGACGTACCCTATGTTACTTGTAGAACCACAACACTTTTTATGGAACTAGGTCTTGCTGCCTCACTAATGATTCATATTTTCGTACACCTGTTAATGCATCCCAGAATCATGTTTGCTTTCTTTGCAACAGCATCACACAGCTGACTCATATTCAGTTTGTGGTCCACTATGACCCCTAGATCCCTTTCTGCCATACTCCTTCCCAGACAGTCGCTTCCCATTCTGTATGTACGAAACTGATTGTTCCTTCCTAAATGGAGCACTTTGCGTTTGTCTTTATTAAACTTCATCCTATTTACCTCAGACCATTTCTCCAATTTGTCCAGGTCATTTTGAATTATGGCCCTATCCTCCAGATTAGTCGCAACCCCTCCCAGCAAACTTAATAAGCGTACTTTCTATGCCAATATCTAAATCATTGATGAATATATCGAACAGAGCTGGTCCCAAAACAGACCCCTGCGGAACCCCACTTGTTATGTCTTTCCAGCAGAATTGTGAACCATTAATAACTACTCTCTGAGTACGGTTATCCAGCCAGTTATGCACCTACCTTATAGTATCCCCATCTAAGTTGTATTTACCTAGTTTATTGATAAGAATATCATGTGAGACAGTATCAAATGCCTTACTAAAGTCTAAGTATACCACACCCACCGCTTCTCCCTTATCCACAAGACTAGTTATTCTATTAAAGAAAGCTATCAGATTGGTTTGACATGATTTGTTCTTTACAAATCCATGCTGGCTGTTCCCTATCACCTTGCCACTTTCCAAGTGTTTACAGACGATTTCCTTAATTACTTGCACCATTATCTTCCCTGGCACAGAAGTTAAACTAACTGGTCTGTAGTTTCCTGGGTTGTTCTTATTTCCCTTTTTATTGATGGGCACTATATTTGCCCTTTTCCAGTATTCTGGAATCTCTCCTGTCTCCCATGATTTTCCAAAGATGATAGCCAGAGACTCAGATACCTCCTCTATCAGCTCCTTGAGTATTCTAGGATGCATTTCATCAGGCCCTGGTGACTTGCAGCCATCTAACTTTTCTAGGTGATTTTTAACTTATTTTTTTTATTATTTTATCTTCTAAAACTACCCCCTTCCCAATAGCATTCATTATGTTATGGCAAAAGGCAGGCTCTGACAGTCCTGAGCCACATTGCAAAAGCCATCACAGCTGCCCCTGCAGCCATGAGCCACCCCTATGCTCCGTCCAAGCCCTCTACAGCTGCAGCCAAGAAGGCAGACAACTCCCAGGACCCTGCCAGGGGATAAAAGAGGGGTGGTGCCTTCCTGGTCTGGTGTGGAGCTCCTGGACCTCAATAAGGTCTGGGGCAAGGAGGCAAACCTACAGGATCTTTGCACCAGATACAGGAATGTTGACATCTATGGACAGATAGCTGAGAGCCTGGACAGCAAAGGTCTCATGTGCACCCAGAAGCAGGTGCGCATGAAAGTGAAGAAGCTCAGGCAGGCCTATGCCAAGGTCAGGGAGCACAGATTCCACTCCAGGTTGGCACCCCAGGCCTGCCCTTACTATAATGAGCACCACCGCATCCTAAGGGGAAGGTCAGCCCCTTCCCCCACCCCTGCTAGTAGACTCAGGGCTAGAGACATCTGTCATCGCCCTCCCAGGGGGCAGAGATGGGAAGGAGACGGAAGAGCTGGACAAGGCCAGCAGTGTAATGATCCCCATTAGCCAGGAGACCTTGCTCTCTCTGGAGCCAGTTGCCCCAACCCTGGATGTTTCCAAGGCATTGTCTGATGCTGGGGAAGGCCCCTCAGGTGAGTGCCATTAGTTTCCATGGACACACACCAGTGCAGGTGGCAGGTGGTAAGGGGCTGCTAGGTGCTCCTTGCTTGGCCTTCTCAGCCTGTGCATGTGGAGCACCAGTCTGGGGCACAAAACCCAGGAGGTAGCAACAAAGAACCCTTTGTGCTCTGGCTCACATAGTGTCTGGAGAGGCCTTCCTTCAGCCTCCTTCTTGGGGGGGTGGGGAGGGTGAGACATGGAGGCTGTGTCTAGACTACATCCCTCTTTTGACAGAGGGATGTAAATTAGACACTTCAAAATTGCAAATGAAGTGGGGATTTAAATATCTCGTGCTTCATTTGCATAATCGCATCATGGCGCTCTTTTGAAAAAGTGCCATTTCAAAAGTAAAACCACGGTCTAGAAGCTGTTCTTTTGAAAAAGGCAGGCATTTTCAAAAGATCCTGTAAACCTCATTTTCTGTTTTCGACAGAACCGCGTCTAGACTGCAGTCTTACTTTTGAAACGGCGCTTTTTCGAAAAAGCACCATGACGCAATTATGCAAATGAAGCACGAGATCTTTAAATCCCTGCTTCATTTGCAAATTTGAAGTGTCTAATTTACATCCCTCTGTTGAAAGAGGGATGTAGTCTAGACACAGCTGGAGACACCCACATATGCACACACACACACACAGGAGTGCTGCACACAGCACACGGGCATGCCTGCATTTTCGGGGCAGCATCCGCTCCCAGCAACAGCATGGCAAGGCAAAGCAACATCTGTCACTCTCACACACCTCCCAGCAACACCCTGCCCCCCTCTCCTCCATCAGCCTGGGATACAAGTCCTTTTCCTGTGGGAAACCAACACCGCTAGACTCAGCATGTGTGCAGCCTGGAGGGAAGCCCAGACATCCTACAGACCCCCCCTCCTGCC